CATTTGCTATGACATTTGCTTTCCTACATTCCAAAAAAATGAAATATATATACGATGAAATTAGCTTATACTACACAATTCTGTTGATGTTAACTGCCAACTAAAACAAAATATAGTTTTAATTATATTTGTAGTTTACAAATGGAGCCTGTGGGCTAGGAGTGATATATTTCTGTAATCCCAATATTCAGTCAGCTGAGGTTCTAGGAGTATCATTATTTCAATACCAGCTTTAGCTACACAGTGAGTTTGAGACAAGCCTCAGCTACACAGTGAGACTTTGGGGGTGGGGGGGGAGGCATCTATGAATCCAATAAAGCTAATATGAGCACTTCCTTTTGCAGTTTGCAACAGCTTAAAGTTGGATCGTGTTGTATTTTATTTCCTTACAAACCATTATAGAGATGGATGATGGATAGATGATTGATGGAAAGATGGGTAATTGATAGGTAAATAGATGGTAGATTCTAGGAGCAACAATTTTGCCTAAGTGGACTGCCAGTGCAGATACAATCTGGTGCTAGAAACAGCCTCTACGAGAACCCACTCCTTGTGGGGTTCCTAAACTCTTGAGAAGTGTTGGTACTGCCACGTGTATACCACACCTTCACCCCAGAATAAATTTCTCTAGACTCAGTGGTTTTCAGAAATGTCAACTTATCATCATGTAGCTTATAAGAACTATATAAAATTCTTACCAATCTGATATAGGTCCCTGTGGGTCAGCCGGGCTGTTTTCCTTCTGCTCCCTGTAGGAAGCATTTTACATCTTTGCCTCTTTGTTTGTAGAGGAGACCCACGTTCTTTAGTTCATGGTACTCTCCATCTGTGACACTGCACAATTACTAATGACCTTGCCTCTTCTGGGGTCGTGATATACTCCAAATTGAAACATGTGTTCCAGGAGGGAGGTTCCTCAAAATCTGGGAAGTAAACAATTCAAGAGTCCTGGGGAGCCCCGAAACTTACCTGTTTCACAAGACTTCTCCTTCCCCAAAGTTGCATAAACAGTAAGGATAGTGCAGAGTGCGCCAGGGGTCCAGCTTCTTAAGTTGTCACCCATCTGTGATGGATGGGCTTTTGGGTGATGCGCTTGCCTTTGAGACACCCCTACTCCCATAAGCAACCCCTCATCTAGAAATACTTAATTTGGTCACATTTGCAAAGTGTCTCATTCCATAAAAATCGCACTAACAAGTGGCAAAGGCCAGGATATGCAGGTCTTCAAGGATGAGTTCTGTGGCATGTGAATGGTGTCTGTATGTAGGTGCAACTTTGTAGGGTATCTGTTCAAAATAGGTTTCTCGAGAACTACTCTTCAAATAAATCTATGATCAAAATGGTTTACTCAACCTTTCCTACAACTTAATCATCCTCTCCTTCCTCATATAAAGGAAAATTGAGGTTCCAGACCTCTGTTTTAACCCTTTATAACCATGGCTTCCTGAAAACAAACCAGATCCAAGTGCTGTTCTGACTGGGTCCTTCGTGAATGAGAGAGAACCTGAGACACTAGGTCAGGCTTGTGGTTACTCTGAGTGGTAGAATCATTGTTGCTGGCTACTGTGTTGTCCAAACTGAGTCCCTAGCCACTTTGGGGAAAAAGCACAGTGCCTTGGCAGTAATCCTTTAGTAATGAAGATGAGGCTTAGGCAGAAAGAGGGGACTAAGATGTGACATATCACCTTCTTGGAGCCAAGGGTGAATATGAGGTGACTGGGAACACCTACGAGACTTGAGAAGGCCAGCACCATGGAATGCAGGATGGGAAGTCGGGCAGCTGGGCCTGGACTCTTACTTCCCCACATAAAATGATGTGCCCTTCAGTACTCGGCCTTGGCATGTCTCAATGGTTTTGTTAATAAAACAGGAGAAGTTATTTGTTGTGTGATATTTTGATTGTGTTCTGACAAATAAAGCTTGCTTGGAGTCAGAGGGTGGAGCAAGCCACTAGCTGATCTGAGAGGTTTGCAGGATTGTAGACAGAGAGGAGACAGGAAGTAGAAAGGCGGGTCTGAGAGAGGATGGGGGGGCTTTTGAATGGAGGAGCAGAAGAGGTAGGAAGCAACTGGTGACTGCTCCCTGTTCTCTGATCTTTCAGGTTCTTACCCCAATATTTGACCCCCGATTTTTTATTGATAAGGATTAATTAGATTAACACTTCAGTTATTTTGTGAATGTCAAGATGGCCGGATTCTGGAGACTGATGAATTACTTGTGACCTGGTAAAATAATTGTACATATAGGAAAGTGCTCTGTTTGTGTAAGACATTTAAAAAAAAATCTGTCGACCCTCACATTATTTGATGTCATTTTGCGAAGCTGCTTCCCAACATGTGACCCAATCTGCCTGATTTATAAGTCGCTTGCACATGGTGAGTGCTGTGAGCTACTTTCATCTCCTTAAGTTGGGCCATCTGTTATTCCGAATTCTTGAGGCAAGAAGTGTTTTGTTTGGTTTTCAGGTTGGGAACATTTGTGTAGATCTCCTGGTCGAGCATTCCTAATCCATCGTGCTGCTGTTTTAAATGTTTCAAATTTTGGAGCTCTTCAGAGTTTTTTTTTTTTTTTTTTTTTTTTTTTTTTTTTTTTTTTTTTTTTTTTTTTTTTTTTTAATGCTTCATTTGTACTGCAGTCACTTACTACAGATAGGTGCATATGCTCGTCTAAACCACTAGATGGCAGCAGAGGAAACCATACTTCAGGGTATGTGGTCTCCCTATAGACTGACCTTAAAGACGCTTTATCAGTCTTGAGCTTAGCACAGACAAATGATGTAGACCAAGAACAATGTGGTTCGCCTGCCTAGAGCCACCATTCATGGCTCTGTTCAGAAGTCACATCTGTGGACTGGACCCCATCCAGACTACCTTCCAGCTCATATAACCAGCCTTAAATCTGGCTTTCTCCAGGACTGTTCTTTCTGGATCATATTTAAATTTTGGTATACTGCATTTTGAAACTAAAATTGTGTCTCTATACCTGGTATTTTTGGAGATATCATATATATATAATATATAATATTCAGAAGGTCTTTAATTGGTCATTTCAAAATCTGGATGTTAATGTGATTGCCTTTTAGTACAAACTGAGGCAAAGGAACAACAAATTCTCAGAGATGTTTCTTTTTCTTGTTTTATTTAAGTGTGTGTGTGTGTGTGTGTGTGTGTGTGTACACAGGCACATATGGGTCATTTATGTGCAGTAGCCCAAGGAGAGAAGAGGGTCTAGAGTTACAGGTGGTTATAAACTACCACACACAGGTGCCGGGAGCAGAATACAACTCCTCAACGTGGAGCCCCCCCCTGCTGTTTCTACTTACTATTATTCATTTGAATTTTTCATTCAACAAACGTGCAGCTGGAAATGAGCAGAGCACAGACACAAGGGGGATGGCAATGCGTAAGTTCTGTACAAACCAGCGTGGATAATGTAAAGGAGTCGGAATCCGCCATAGTTAAGCTTTGGGAAGGAGGTGGTCCGAATCCTGGTGGAGGAGTGGGGTTGACAAAGCAGAAGTCAGCAAGTCTCTCTCTGCCAAGTCAGAAGCACTTGGCAGCAAAACACAAGGGAGGATTAGCACATATAATTGATCTTAATTATATGTTTCATAATTACATAAATCCATTAAGCATAAAGGGAAGGAAGTGCCATGTTCTTAATGAAAAAAAAATGTTTTCCCTAACTAGTTATGGAACAAAAGAGTACACCAAAAGCATGTGCGTTGTGTGTGTGGCGGGGGGGGGGGGTAAATTTATTTTACCTAAAATGCATGATACACAAAGCAATGAAATCTTAAGAATATACACTAGTCTTCAAATGTTCATATAGACGCTAAGAATTCTTGGGAACTGTGTGGATGAGGTTTTTTCCTTCTCCTTTACCAAAAAGCCATGGTCTTGACGATCTGGCTCAGAAGGTAGACCTTCTATGTTCTGCTCTGAGTGTGATGTAGAAAGGGATTCAGAAGCCAGCACAGGCTGATTCCTTGTGTTGTTATAGGCAACTATAAAAATTCCTGGTGGTGGAACACTCTAACTTCATACATTCTTTGGTTGTGCTGTTAACTGAAAACCTTATTAGAGTCCCTTTTTATGGTAAAGGTCCTGAAAACGAATAGACCCCTTCTGAGCATAGTGATAATGATGAATTTTGTAGTAAGTCCCGGCAGAGGAGGTTCAAAAGCTCTTGTAGCCATGGAGACTGAGAACTCTAGAGCTTTGAGAGAAGGTTGAGAATAAAATAATGTTTTCTATATTTAATACTCTGGTACTAGAGGGAACCTGAATGGCCTTCTACAGCATACATTGTCTTTGTTTTCAAAATTGCCTGTGTAACATTGTATCATCACTGAGTACACAGTTAGTTGGTAAGGTAGAGTTAGCTTTCCAAGACCCCCTGAAATAAGTCACTCTCAATGCTCTCTCAAACATAGAATTCTAGTAGGTGTTCTTCCAGAACACTAAAGAGTCAACTTGGTGAGGAAGCAACACATTCTAGAAAACTCTATACACATTAACTAACTGTATAACAATAAACAAACTTTTTATCAGATTAGGAAGGGGCTTCAGTAGTTCATTTGGTTCAGCTTCTTTGTCTTGCAGAAGGACTCGTTAGCCCCTCTTTATAAGTCAGAGGTAGGCCCGCAGAGAGATGGTTCACCACTGCTAAGGTTGATGGTAGTTAGTGGTGAGGACAGGGCAGTCTCCTGACCTAGCCCAGTATTATACTCAACAGTCTTCCATTGGGGAAACTCCTGAAAAGGTTTTGTTTTCTCAGAAATTCTTTCTTGTTTCTATCAAGCCAAAAAATACCCAGAATTTGACATACAATATAATCCCCCATAACTGTATACAAAATTACTACTAAGAAATTGGTGGTGGCTGGGCAGTTGTGGTGTATGCCTTTAATCCCTGAAGTGGCATTTCAATTGTATTTTAATAAATAAAACTTTTATTTATTTTTCTGTCTGAGGATCAGAAAATAAAATAGTCACACTGGCAAGACTTATAAACCAGTCAGAAATAACACACACCTTTAATCTCAGTAGACACACTAGCTTGCCATAGAAACCAGTTGGTAGTGGTTCATGTCCAGCTCTGGAGAGGATTATAAAATGGGAGGAGACAGCTCTCAGTCCAAGTCTCACTTGTAGATTCCTGGAGGCAGGACCACCATTTTCAGACTGAGGTTGAAGTAAAAGCCAGTGGCTGGCTGCTTTGCTTTTTGGACCTCAGGTAGAACCCCAATTTCACTCTCTGAGTTTTTATTAATCGTGCTTCAGTTCCCAGCACTAAGGAGGCAGAGGCAGGCAGTTGTCTGAGTTCAAGGCCAGCCTGGTCTACAAAGTGAGTTTCAAGACAGCTAGGGCTGTTACACAGAGAAACCCTGTCTGAAAAAAATAATAAAAAAGGAAAGAAAGAAAGAAAGAAAGAAAGAAAGAAAGAAAGAAAGAAAGAAAGAAACTGGTGGCATTTTAAATAATCCAGTTATTTGATCTCCTTGAGAGTAAAGCTGACCTTCAGCAGTTGGTTCTCTGGCAATCAAAAGTCATTTTGACTAAAGACAAGAATAAACCAAAGCTTTCAGATCTTTTCGTGATCCGATGATGCGTGTGCTTAAGCGAACGTGGCAGGAATCAGGTCTGAGGCAAACCTAATCAAGATATGCTAGACGAAGTCAGATGTTAAAGCTTACAGCTAGCGACGCCTGGCAGGGAAAACTGGTGGCCTCCTCGGGCTCTATTTCTTTATTTTTAGAGTTGTGTACATGCGTGAGTCTCTCTGGGGTTGCGGTCCTGTGAGGCGGGTGCCTGCGGAGGACAGCGGCATTGGATACGCTGGATCTGGAGAGCTAAGCAGTTCTCCGAGGCCATTTTATTCTACCTTCCCCTCTAGTAGGCCACATATTCCGATTCGAGAAAAGAGGAGAAGGCAATAAAATGTTTCATTTAAATGAAGACACGGGGAAAACCAAAGACTAGAGTGAGGAAAGACCGTGGTAGAAGACAGAATTCAGAGCGGAAGGAGGAAAGCGATTTCGGTTTGCGGTCTTCGAATCGAAGACAAACTGTCATCGCTTTCCATCTTCTCGCAACAGCTCTCTGAGGTCGCTAATATGGGCGTGTGGCAAAATACCACTCGCGCTGATTTTTCACACGGGCACCCACTAACAGAGCTGAATGCCTATTTGACATGACTTGAAATTCCGTACCCATTTAAAATGGACCAACATGACACAATAGTCATCATGACCCCATGTTGATATTTCATAAGAATGGGAGGTTGTCTCTCTATAAATTGGTTTTAGAATTAAGATGTTGGGTGGACTTCTGTAAATAGTGTCAGAGAGATAGAAAAGGAAGAGTTTGCACCGGAACCTTAGCATCAGAAAATCAAGCGCCCTGAACTTGAAAGGTGCAGCTATCAAGGCTTCAGTTCAATACCTTCTTGTCTGTCTTCCTCATTTTCCTCAACCACCCTTTCACCGAGGAAGCTATAGGGACCCTGTGTGGTGTCACCCACACATAGAATATTGGGTATGGAAATATCTCTCCAGTCCTGGCACGAAGGAATGCGAATATGTTTGATGTCTTCACTCCCAGGAATGAAACCAAACACTTTCTTGATGCGATGTCTGATGAGAAGTCGTGAGTGTTCCTCGGCGGCTTGTTCAAAGAGCGCCCTCTCACTCTGGAGGTGGTTGGACCAGTAGTGATGCTGCATAGAGGTGAGAGGAGAGCAGCATCTTCCCAGACATTTGGAGACCAGAAAAGCAATGGTTGCCAAAATGATCAAAATCCAGCCCAGCATCTACGCATAATTAGTAGGAAGATAATTAGTAGGCACAGGCATCCATCAATACAGCACATAGTCCAGAAGCAGTCACGGTACGAGGGAGTCCTACAGACCTCAGAACTAAAATATGGGTCTTTGCTTCCAGTGTTTAATATATAATATACAGTGATGGTCATTTGATGTGGAAATAGCTGTGATGGGAGGACAGTGCCGTCTTCATATGGCAGAGGAATGTGACCTTTTCATGTGGGATGGGTTCTAAGTACTGCCCTTGAAGTGATAGATGCTATAAACCACCAATCAACCTTATATAAAATGCTAAAGCCTTGTCCTTTGCTAGGACCCAATTTCGCTTCTCAATCATTAGGTACAGACCTACATGTTTGTTGGGGGTTTAATTAGTATTAGATAATGATGCTGTCAGAGGCACTAATGGCAGCCTCCCAAGCTGTCCTCAACGACCTGCTACCAAGCACTCATAGACGTATCTCCCTGCATTCCTCTTATCTTTGCAGTCAAAAAAGTCAGGAAAGAACTATAGGCTCTCCCTTAAAGTTCCTTATTGTTTTCTTTGTTTAGATAAACTAGCTTTATTTGTGACTACTTAGTATCTGCTTTTTATTTTTATATTTATTATTTATTTATTTATTTTTGAGACAGGGTTTCTCTGTGTAAAGCCCTAGCTGTCCTGAAACTAGCTCTGTAGATCAGACTGGCCTCGAACTCACTGCAATCCCCCTGCCTCTGCCTCCCAAGTGCTGGGATTAAAAGCAATGTACCACCACTGGCACTGGCAGTATCTGACTTTTTCCTTTCTTTCTTTTTTCTTTTTGTCTTAGAATCATTTTGTTCCCTTCTGTACCATTCTTTAAGAAATATTTGGCAACTGGAAGGTAAAGTGAAGACAGACTTTTAGGCATGCTAACAGTACACAGTCACAGGTGGGCATTGCAAATGTCTTTCTCCTACAAGCTTTCCCAAGCTCTTCTGGCTGAGCTGGTTTTATGACTAGTCAAAATGAAATAAACAAACAACACTAAAGAAAACCCCAAAACCAATTGTGACAGAGTATATCTTAGTGAAAATTTTCTTTTCTTTTTCTCCATTCGCGTATTATTGCAGTATTTCAGGATTCTGTGTCTTGATAATATTTTTTCTAACAGAACAGTATCAAAATAACTGAAGGAGAGCAGGTCAAAAGCCAGAGAAGTCTTTGCAATTAGTACCTTAAATTAGATGAAGCTTTTATGATATTTCAGTGCCTTGAAAATATGTTTCAACTCGGCCCTTAGAGAAACTAATGACTTTTTCTTGCCAAAATGAAAAATTGCACTTCTGAAATTGAACCTAAAAGTATGCCAGGCTCCTGTCTTCCTCCTATCCCATCCCACTCTCTGCCGCCACTAATTTGTTCATGAACATTATATTTAGAGCCACCATTGGAAATTTTAAAAATATAATTGAGCTTCCTATAATTTCAGAAGAGATTTTAAATATAGAAGAACACAAATGTAAAAAAGAAACAGAAAAATGAGATTTAGTAATCCGGCACTATTCTGATAATACTTATGATAATATAATAATTCTAACATTCATTATTTTTAACAGACTGGACACAGTCATGAGCTCTTTAAATGTGTTAGTTAATTTTCTTATTCACAACCATTTAGGTGGCATATTCTGTTATTAGCTTTCTTTCACAGTTGAGGAAAGTTGGTACAACTTAATAAACAACGTGCCAGTCATGAGTGATTAAGCAATAGGAGAGAAGCTGGCCTACTGAATTCCAGCAGCTTAACTCTGGGTGCAGCTGCCCAGTGGAATTCATTCAGGTGCATGGGATCTAGCGTGTGCTGTGTACTCAGATAACAGGAGAAACAGCAGACACAGGATACCTTCATAGGAACCATAATAGGTTTGGGATAGTACCCCAGAAAAGGAAGTCATAAACTCACTTGTGACTGGTATCTGTGGAGAAGAGCCACTTCGTCTCTTACGGGCATCACATCAGAAGGAGCCGACGTGTAGCATGGAAACCCAGCTAGGATCTCTTCCCGTTTGCTGGCAGAGACATTAGCGAACATTGGGTACTGGTCCACAGAGGCATACTCACTTGCCGCACATTCATAGTAGGTGCCTGTCATCAGGGTCACTGTCAGCCACGTCAGTGGAGCAACCAGCGCCCTGCCGGTGATGTTGAAGAACATGAGGCAGGCCAGCCTCCTCTCCAGAGGGCTGCTTCTCCGGTACGGAGGGGTACAGCTGCCGCAGCAGTATTCGCTGGCGACCGTCCACATCTGGCCTCTGAGAGCATAGCCGGCAATCAGAAGGATCAAGGCAGGAACCAGGAGAAAAGCTGTACCGTAGTAGAAGTTCTTTCCGGCTTGACACGGACAACTGAATGTGTAAGAGGAGAACAGTTGCTGCACACAAATAGTCGAGATGGCAATCAAAGAATTGGTGCACGTTCCGCTTCTCTGTAGAGACGAGAGAAGACAATTGAGACTTGGGCTCATCGCGGAAGCTCTGACCCAGCTAGCTGGTGGCCCTTTCTGATCTCTGGACTCCACCAGCTGTGACCATTTTATAGGATCACACTGGTTTGACTGGTTGTGTTAAGTGACCCAACATCCTTATGTGTTTAAAGGATCCCTAGACTCTTCTCATGTTCTTTGTAAATCCTGAGCTAATAAATTCATACCAGATAGTAGCTGTGAGAAAGAGGAGGGACCTCAGTTCTGTGGGAAAAGAGAACTTTTCAACGTCCCTTCATGGACGACCACAGCACACTTTCCAGATTGACACCCTCCATCTTGCTATGCACCACTTTGTAAAACACGAAATGTTAAGCATCAGCCAACACAGCTTAGGAAGCAAAACAGAGGCACTCTTAAGGCAGTGACAGATTCTATAGCCAAAGCATCACAAAACGCAGAGAAACGGAAACTAATAAATATTAGAGAAATCCAAAATTTTGAGGTGGTCCCAAAATGTTGTCTAAAAGAAAGGGGGGGAGGCATAACAAAGCCTTTCCTAAAAAAATATGTTTGTTGACAGAATATTACCATATGATGATTTAAAAGTTAAATTGCAAACTTATTTCGATGATATCCTTTGCTTGTATGAAAATGTGATTATTTGTAATAGTTGCATAATTTTAAATAAGAATATAACAATCAAACATGTAAGCTGTTTGTGTTATTTAACTAGGAAATATTTACCACACAATTTCTTTGTACAGGGTACTGGACAGAGTTTGGTTGGATTTATAAATCTTTTTTTCTCAGACTCTAGGGTGGATATGGTGAAGCTATCTTTAGTAAAATGAGACAGTATAATAAGAAATTCGAGGTGCAACACAGAATAAACAATATAGTCAAAAAGCATATGAGGACACATGATGTAGAAAATATAACTAGGCCCGAGCCACAGGGCTTGAATTCCAGTACTTGGGAGGTAGAGGCAGGCAGAACTCTGAGTTCAAACCCAGCCTGGTCTGCGTAGTAAGTTCCAGCACAGCCAGGACTACATGGAGAGACTCTGTCTCTAAAGAGCAAGAAAATGACCTCTAGAAATACAAATGTATACCAACAGAAAGTGGACATGCGTTGCTGGGAGAGTGGGGAAGGAGGAATATGAAGAGAGGTGAAGAGCCACGAGGAAACATTTGGGAAGTATACATTTCTACCTCAGTGTTCGGATTTGTAGAAGAAATGCCAACACTATCAAAAGACTTTTTCTTTTCCCAGGAAAGTAGGCCAGGAAATTCCAAACAAGGTCACACCAGGAAGTAGCAGCCTAGGTCAGAAGGTGGTAGAAGGAAGAGAAAGCCTAGACCACAACCTTTACTAGAGTATCTTTGGGGAAGATAAGGCAGGCAGGGAACACTTAAGCTTGGTTTCTAAACAAACCTAGTGGCTTTGGGTGTAGAGATAGGTTATCCCTATATATCTGCAGCCTGGTAAGGGTTAATTAGGGCAGGAGAATATTAATTCAATTTGTGAGCATTCGATAAGGTGATGGTTCTGGCATTTGACCTCTGGCTCACTGGGGAAATACAAATAGCTTATTAATTGGCCCTGTAATTAATGGATACCAAATAGATAAACATAGGACGGGGTAATAGCAATGTTAACTACATTGACTAAAAAATTATCTCTATACTTATCAAACTATGTATCAAATATGGCTTAATAAATCATAAACATTTACATTGTGATCACTGAAAGACTAGATATACCATCTTTAGACCATTTAAGACATAGAGGGAATAAGAGGAAAATCTTTACAGGAAAGGAGAGAGTAAGCAAAGACAAAAGAATGATAATGAGAAAAGACAAAATCACAGTGTAAATGAGACCAGGTGCATCAATAATAACAATAAAATATTTTCAATAGCTATCCATGACTGCTTACGCTCTGCTAGGCTTTGTGTTAAGAACACTGAATCTCCTCAACAGTCCAATGTTGAGATATTAAAGAACTTGCCTAGCACCACACACAGATGAATGGAGGAGTCAAGACTAGGACCCAGGTAGCCTGGGACATGTCTTTATCCACCACACCAGAACCAGTTTAAACCTGCCCATGCCATGCTGCTTACAAGTGACACTCCCAAAAGGACCACACACAAAGCATGAAAGCAAAGACATGGGTCACTGGGAGTAACAGAATCAGGAGACAGCAAGACTGGCCAGCTGCACACTCCATCATCATTAAAACAATACATCACAAAGATATGAAAATGTCAATGTGTACATCCATGATTGCATAACTCTGAATTATATAAGACGAAGATCTGGACAAATAATAAAAAAGAACCCTTTCACAGAAAGACTTTTAATGTGACACTAACAAGTGAGTTGATCAAATAAACAAAAGTAGTTAAAAGATTAAAAAGAATAAATTTAGCAGGTTTGGCCTAAGTCAGATTGTTGAAGATAAATGACATTCTATGACCTAATAACAGAGGATAAATATTTTATTTTGTAAGTCTCACAAATCATTTCCCTCTAAATTGTGTGGGTGATGCAGGGGGTCACCAAGGAGCTCTCGGTCTTGGCATCCAATAACAAGGAGATGGATTCAGAAGTCATGACAATGATATACCATAGAGGCGGGCTTAGTAAAGGACGGCGTCGGAGCCAAATTGGTCACTGCTTGCTTTGTCTGGCTTAGGAGTTAAGAGTGGCTTATGCATTTTAAAATGGTTGAAAAAAAAAATCTGTGACATGAAAATTAAACTAAGTTCAAGTGTCAGTGCTTATTAATAAAGTTTTATTGGAAAATAGCCATGTCTGCTTGGGGATGGCTGCTTTTGTAGTGACAGCAGTATGGAGTTATCATTACAGAACCTGTACTCTCTGGTTCTTTATAGAAGATTTTTCTGACCTGATGTTAATCTCTATAAATAAATCATCTACAACGGCAGGTATCACTGTGGATAAACATCAACAAACAACCTTGAGGAAAAAGTTCTGGCCATGAGGTGTGAGCTGTAGGGCACCACTACAATGTAGAGTTGCAAGCGCTACGACATATTCCGTATGGGTAGTAACATGTGTGGAACTTTAAAACGTGCATAGGAGTGATAAATACCGAAGTCCACAGAGTGATAACCACTAAGAAGGAAAAAAAAGGTAGAGTCTAAGAGATTCCCGGACATTTTAGCTGGTTCAGGCCAAAGCATATATAGCAAAACTTAGTAACACATACCATATTCTTTGTGTTTATTATCTCATATCTTAAAATCCATTCATTATAGTATCTGGTATATGAGGAAATGAGCAAGAGAATTATAGAGCATTCCTTCTGGGAGCTGCATAGGACACAGCAGAGCATAGGCTGAACCCTCCTGGAGTAAGGGGTTTGTTAAAGCAAATCTGTAAGGATTTGCTTTGTAGATTCCTTGACGGCATAGCCACATATACTAGCTTTGGGTGAACACTCCCCTCGTCCCTCCCCACTCCACACACTTAAGCTTTTCTGTCCCCATGTTCGACCTTTCGCTTTAATGTCGTGTGTGTCCTAACACCCTGCCCATGCCTCTGCTGACCACACACCCCTTTCTCATAAATACACATGTATCAAATTCGAATCTAGAACCCACTAGAGACGGAACATGCTTGTCGTTCTGAGCCCAAGTGTCCTCACTTAGTCTCATATAATCCAGTCCTAAGCCTTCTCCTCTAAATTTCTTAGTTGCAGTTTTCTTTATTGTTTACTTTGATAAAAATGAATCCCAACGTTAGTTTGCTGTTTGTCTGTCCCTCATGTGGCTTTCACATGTATATGACCCACAGGGACCCCGTTTCACAATCTCTCTCATTGAGCACAACCGCGGGTATGCCTGAGAAAACCAGATCTGAGCATTACAGCTATCCTTAGCAGGTAGGGGTCACAGAACAAATCATAAATTAACTTTATATTAGGGAATCGGTTAAAATAAGCCCAAAGATCAGCTTAAAGTAAAAGGAGTGTGGTGTGTGAGTGTGTGTGTGTGTGTATGTATTTGAGCACATACATGCATACATACATACGTACGTACATACATACATTTTGAGGCCAGGAGAAGACATTGGTGTCTTCCTCTGTCACTTCTTACTTTCACTGAACTGGATTTCATTGGTTCCACTAGGGTGGCTGACCATGACCTTGAAGAATCTGCCCATCTTGGTCCACCAATGTTGGGGTTCTAAGGACATGTAGCTACGCCTGCCTTTTTAGAAGGATGCTGGGGATCTAAACTCAAGGTCCTCTTGCTTTTACACTGTTACCCATTAAGCCATCTCCTTAGATCCTAGTAAAAGAAGAAACAGGACTCCATACAAGCCCTTTGGTAGCTGAGGTCACTGTTGTCTTCTGTTAGGATTTTCCCAAGTCTTTATTCAATTGCCCAGCTGCCTCCCAAAGAACTAGAGTAGAGGTGTGGTCCAAGATACTGTTTACTTGTAGTAATTGACAGCTGACAGTGTATTTGACAAGATTGAAGATTGAAGAATGCTTCTTTCTCAATCCCTACTCCAAATTCTATTCTAGCCAGCCTAACGATTCTTAGTAAAAGCAGAAATGCAATACTTGGGCATTATTTTGAACCAATTCTCCTCCCCCCTGCTCTAGTGCCCGGGCACATTGGTCATTTACCTTCAGAAGCACCAAACCACATTTTCTCCTGTTTAACAGTGGGGTGATTTTACATAAAGAGAAGGGGCCTGGGGAACGCAGGGTGTACTCAGATGATGAATGATGCTGAGTGTCATAGTCTGAAAAAGAGCAGACCAGTGCCCAGGTGACAGTAGCCTTGGCTGTGTTTGCTCATGTTGTGTACTGTGTGCCTGCCAGGCACCTAGCTCCTTCCTCAGTCAGGTCCTGAGTCTGACCTGGAGGGCCATTGGCTAGCAAACAGCCTTGTCAGTCTGGAGGAAGAAGCCAGCTTTTCTAACGTACTGGTGACATCTCAAGCTTTGTAGTGGCCTTGATATGCCCACAACAGAGCCATGGTCACATATGGTTGTTGACTGCAGTGCCACTTTTCCCACTGCAAGTGCTTAGACCTGTCCTGTTTCTCTCGAGGATCTCTTACCTTTGAAGCCCAAATTATCTCCACATTGGCAGCAGGTTGTCAAGTGCACACATGGTTTAGTGCCTAGTTCTAAAATTTGTTTTATCGACTATGTTAAAATGTATACAATAGACAAAGGGGGGTGATAATTGAGAATTTGCAAATGTAGTTCTGATCCCTACTCTGCAGATCATTTTGGAGAGCTTTATCAGTCTTTTTATTTTTATGCTCCTATCCTGTAAAATGGCAATGAATGTCATACTGACGACTTCACCAGCTGTAGTTGAATTCAAATGATACAGACAGCGAAAACCAAGCTGTGAGCTGAGAAGTGGTAAATGTAAGTTATTAGTGTGCCCCTAAGAAAGCTGCCAAATCCCCAAGCCCAGTATTACTGATTTCCCTGAGACCATGGTTTCACAGACCATAAACAGCGTGGCGCTACGTCACATGGTGTAGAATTCCATCCCATATATTCACCTCTAAGAAGAGCCTGCAGTAATTAGTTTTTATACGGTGCATTATAATATGTTTTACGGTGCATGCCATCTCTTTGATAGCCAAATTATTCTGTGAGGTAGGTATTAGCATTGCCATTTCACAGATGTGGAAACTGAGCCATGGAGCAATAAAGTGGCTTGTCCAAGGCCACATAGCCAGTAATCAGGAGAACAGCAACTAAATCGGAGCCTTGCCAACCATCCTGGGCTCTTTCAACTGTGCCACACTCTTCTTCAAAGTGCTCACCCATCTTCACCTGGCAGGAAGAGTCCACCGGAACCAAGAAGGCTAAATGTCTCAGGATGGAAGAAGCAGAAGGCCGCCTTCTCAAGCGAGGTTTCCATGTCTATTTCTGGAACAGCTTTGGACTCACGCACCCTGCCTGCATTTGTCATGATGAGGGTTCTTATTTGAACTTTAAATATGTGTACTTTTGCATAAATAAAGAGAGCCTCCAATAGCTCAGGAACTATCAAAAGAAAGCCAAAGGCTTGCTCTCTCTGCCAGAATCTTTATACATTATTAAACTACAGAGCACCCATTCTGAGCAACAGCACTGTAAGAAAATATCAGCTTTATGCCTCCTTTAAAGTTGCTGATTGCCGTTAGGAAAAGTTACTTTTCAATGCTGTAAATACACATGATGGGGGCAGGAAGTGCTCTGGGGACAATGCAAAACTCATTTGTTGATGAGGTTTAAAGTCAGGATTTCGTGCCGGAAGTTTGCTGATCCGTCTCTGTAACGCATAGAACAATCAATACCAAGTGAATAATGCTAACGTTAAATCTGTCTTGGATTGCAAAGGTTTCTGTTTGTGATTTTAAAACAATGCCTTGGCATTCGAACAAAACACCACTCATCAACTCCCTGGGGCTAGAGAGTTTTTAGTGTCTTGGTGCTTTTGCTCTGACTTCACACACACTGTGAGCTTTTATGGGCCTGGATTACAAGTGAGGCTGCTCCTTGATCAGTAGCAGGTTACAGAGATACAAGACAGTGCTGCTGTTCATGTATTTTGGTGGGGTTTTTGTTTGCTTGTTTTTTTTCTCTTCCATTCAGCAAAGAGCAAAGGCAGGAGAAAAGGCTCCTGCACCAAGGCCAGGAGGAACTTGCTAAGACAAAAGGCGAAAGGGGACTACTCTACTGATATACACCGAAGTCACAGTCCGAAGAAAAGAACTGAAGATCACTCTTTACCTTCCAGGAGAGATGTCTCGCCCTGCACCCAAAAGGCCAGAATATCAAAAAATAGTAAGACTTTTTTTTTTTTTCAAATAGCCTTGCTTCCACTTCCCAGTAAATGTGTCCTTGGGGGATGTTTTATGAATTTTGGAAAATAATGCTACAAGTAGAAGATTTCAGTGAAGCAAAGATGATGTTAAGTGAATGAACCTTCTGGGAAGAGTTACAAGTATCTTTTAATAGTGTAGCAGAATAATCAATTCTTTATACAGATTTTTAGGATCTTCTTTTCTGATGGATGACTTGAATACAGGCATCAAATATTCCTTTTGCTTCTAAAATGTGAAAACATCAATCATTTGCATTTATGTTATATTAAATAGCAAAGGAAATGTATAATCAATTATATGTAAAATTAAATAGGAATCAAAAGATTGTCATTAAAAATACACTCCCTACTCTTAAATGTGTTTGTATTTGGTGTGTGCTATTGTCCTTTCTATAACTTTGAAATTGATTCATTTCTAAAATGTTTTGGTTTGGCACATTTAATTTGAAGCAATATTCAGTTTTTAAAATAAACCTCTTCATTTAGCTTTACTAATTCAGATATTACAGGTAGGAAAACTTAGAGTTATGATTAAGGCTGTTTTGGTTATTTCAGGGACTGGTGGACGTTTAATGTTAAGTAGGTGATTTTAGCCCTGTGTTCTCAAGGCTGCATTGACTAAACTAATTGGTGTGCATCTCAGTTGGAAATGCCCATGAATACCTCATCTGGCATTCTGGAATCTTGCACCACTTTGTTGAACTAGCAAATGGCAAAAACGTATAGCATGTAATTCATATTGTGCCTAAATCACTACACACACACACACACACACACACACACACACACACACACACATGCACGCACGCACGCACCACAGTTTAAACCTTTTTATATGGGCACACCCAAAACCACAGGGAAAAATTACAGGAGTTCTATTTTTCATATGAAAGTGGGTTTTTTATTGTTTTAAAGAAATTCCGGTTGCTATCTTGGGATCTGTAGTATGGCTTTGTAGACTTACAGAGAACGCTAGATATGTCATTCACAGTATAACCTCTGGTCATGAAGCAGGATACAGAAATGGACCTTTATGGATAGTGTATTTGAAACTCAGGTGGAATTTAACATGTTTCAAGATGTATTAGTATATCCCATGGCAGGTAGTGGAGAGGGAGGGGGAGAGAGAGTTGAGACTTTAAAGCAGGCCCAGGCTGTGACAGACAGGAAGGGCACAATTTCTTCTCTCTTCTCAGTACAAATTCTTTGTGTAGAGTAGTGACAAACACATTCCTTGTCTTCCTCTCTCTTCCTCTCCATCTCCCCTTTCCCCTCTCCCCTCTCCTTCCCCCCTTTTTTTCTCTCTCTCTCCCTCTTCCCCCTCTTCCTCTCCTTCCTACCCCTGTCACCCCCTCATTCTCTTTTGTTTATTTCTCTGCTACAGCGTTAATACATAGCAATGTTTAGTTTTCTGTTGTGGCTTCTATATTAGGCAGAAGCATTGTGTATAATACATCGGTATTTGGTGTGTTCTGTGTTGAGCCTCTTAGAAAGTTTATATCACAAGAGCAGGAATAAAACTGAACATTTGTGACCCTCAGTATTAGGTTCACATTATTTTTGTTCGACTCTCTTGCTTACATCCCTTATTTCCTGGAAAAAGTATTAACATACTGAATTGTATGCATTGTTATAATACAAATTAACATGCAATATAAATTAGTTTATAATGTCTACTCTACATATACTTATGGCATTTTGTTTCTAGTTTTCACATAAATTGGTACAGATGTACCATCTAATATTTAGATTCTTTTCTTTTAAAATGTATCAATAATAAATATAGCCACTTGGCAAAGAGGCATGTTTGTCATCATATAAACCGACACATCTCATTCAGATGTCGAGGCACTGGGTTAACTTTGAAATCATTTGCATCAAAATTCATGGTATTTTACAAAAGCTATTTGGTTGAGTAAATAATTTTACTGTTTTTCAAAAAGACATTCACATCCATCTTTAAAATAAAACCCATCCATTTTCGGGTCTGCTCTCCTACATATGAAGACACTTGATGGAAGAGGGAAGAATGACTCTCCTAGCTTGAAATCCACAGTGACCTCTCACGGAAATCTAGTCCTCTGTGAAACACGCTTACTGTCACTAGTGTTCCCCTTCCCTCTTCCATTTTCCTCTGCCCCCTCCACAGAAGTACCTCAGTGATTAATGCTGTGTGGGTGGAGTTGGAGCCTGGAGTTGGAGGGGGCTCTGGCTCCAGATGGCTGGGCAAGTATCTGCTTCATTTGGGTCCTCCTTTGACTCTGTAGGATAGACAGTGTGGAATACGTTCTCCACAGGTTTCCTTCCCTTTCAGAAGGAACACTTCTTGGCAGGAACAAGCAGACTTTTTCAAATTAAAAACTTGGCCATATTTTCTTTTCTGCTTTTATTTTCATCCTCTCTGTACTAAATGAAGCCTGACTGGACCTCAGTTTTAATTTTTGCTTGTAATTCACTCTAAAAAAATGGAACATAATTTGAAGTTCTATTTTTAAAACAGAGGCAGTAACATTTATATTTGGGTCCTCTAAAAATCTCCTCTTTTCTCTAAGCATATTGCGAACAACAATTCCTGCCAGCTTGCTACTGTGACTGGGATCATTCCCAAGCCCCCTGGCAGATCTGGGTCTCAGAAGAGGCTACATGTATTCACAATTAGCCTCACCAGCTATTCCTTCCAGCTGAGAACAGGCAATGTAAAGAACAAGGCATTCCAGAATAGTAATAATTGTATCAGAAGTTAGTAGTTAAAAATAAAAACCCCTTTCTCCACTTCTCCATGAAAACACGCATCAAGGTATGCAACAAACACGAATCCGTCAGATGTTCTCATGGGAGAACCTAGACCACTCCGCTCTTCTCCCAGTCTAGCCGTGTGTGCAAATAAGTGCAAGTGATGACTCAGGAGTGCAGATGCTGCAGTCCTGGGGGAGTGGGAAAGGTGAGGAAATGATCTCTGGGTGTGATTTCAACCCATAGACTAAAATAAATAATATAGCGATCTACTGTCAGAACCGTCTGTAATAAAACCATGCATGTTTGCCCCACAGAACAAAGACCTGTTTGTACTCACCTACGGAGCTCTGGTTGCCCAGTTATGCAAGGATTATGAAAAAGATGAAGATGTGAACAAATACTTAGATAGAATGTAAGTAGATGTCTCTTTGCTGTAGAATACCTATTGCTTGCTAATGTCACCTGCGCTTTCCAGCTCCTCATGCCTCGCTCCACCGCCCCAGCTCCTCCTTGGCTGCTACAGACCACATCTAAAAGTGGAACATAATTTCTTACAGCTCAACTTAAAATAATAGGGAGGAGCTTTTCTCTATTTCTATCAAATATAGAATTCTCTTTTTCCAGGTTGGAAATGATGTCTTTATTAGTTACATGTAAGCAGCTGACGTGATGGAACAGAAGTGTACTTTTAATAAGATGATGGAATATCCAGTTTGATTTTGAGTTTTCACAATTCCTTACAATGAAAATGTTTGTTTTCATAAGCATAGGCCTCCTATTGGGGCCTATGCAATAAACAAGCAAACAAAAAGCTAAGAGTTGTCGCCCAACAAGAAGACAGAGGTGTGATGAACTCTATTGAAAGAGGATTGTCTCTCTCTTACCTCATTGCTTGTTTAAAAAAAGATTTCTAATATAAAACAAAACAATCTTTTCTTTTTAAATCAAGCCCATTTCCCCCTTTTATTTTGTTAGTGAAAATTCCTCTAGTTTATATTCAACCTTCTATATTTGTAATTATATGATCGCCAAATTATTGCAATCTTGTCATTATTTTTAACTTTTTTGAGTGTCTTATGAGCGTGCCTTTATTACAATCATAACAGGTTTTATTGTGTCGCTTTCATACATGTTTTCAGTGTATTCTGATCACATCCTTTATCCTCTCTACCCCTCCCTCGTCCCCTCAATCCCCTTCTTCTCTCTCGCCTGGCCCTGCCCACTTCTTCTTTCATATCTTCTTTATACCCGGCGAGTTTCGAGTTTCGGTGGGGTTGGTTACAGGAGATGGGCACTTTGCCAGTGGCTGCACCACTGAACAAAACGTCCCTCCCTCCTCCAACAACCATTACCTGCATCAAAACAGAAAGAAAGGAGCCCAGGAACCTCTCCCCTACCGTAACAGACTGTTGATTGGCACACTTCTGTAGAAATCGTGTGTGGGTAGTTACAGCTGCCGGGAGTGCAGCAGTCTCCCCATGCCCGGATGTCAGCATTCCACACCTCTCCCCATCCCTCCAGCTCTTACCGTCTTTCTGCATCTTCATCGTCAATGTTCTCTAGGCCTTGAAAGGAGTGATAATGAGGCTCCATTTCTGGGTGGACATTCAATAGTTATTTCTTTGTTTTCAGTATTTTGAGTATGAACAAGTCACTGCTGACAACTTAAAAAAAATGCTTCTCTTACCATAGCTGGCAGCAGCACCATTTTGTTGCTATAAGCATGGTCATTTATAAAGCAGTTTGATGTATGCATCACACCACTTAGCAAAGCAACGACAGAAGCTTCCTTACCAGGGTCTAGGACCTATCCAGCCACAGACTTTTGAATGGGTTTACAGTCTTAAATATAATTTCTTTCCCATGGAGAATCTTCACAATTCCTTACAATGAAAATGTTTGCTTTCATAAGCGTGGGCCACCTACTGGGGCCGATGCAATAAACAAGCAAACAAAAAACTAAGAGTAGTCGCCTGGCAAGAAGACAGACGTATGAGGAACTCGACTGAAAAGAAATTATATTTTTCAAACCCAGTCAGAAAGTGGTTACCTCATAACAGACATGCCCTTACTGCACCAGTGTGCTCACCTTCCCTCAACTGGTCAGTGTTGCTGCACGCAGGACCACGGCTGAGGAAGACCGCTAATGACGATTCCCTCAGCTGCCTGCATAGCACCTACTTCTGTAAGGGTGGCCGGTGGGGAGGAAGCTTTTCACCCAGTTCCAGCTCGATTTATCTTGCAACTAAGAGGTATGTTTTTTTCACCAATAATTCCTGACTAGGATATCTTAGTTTTGGTGAAAATCCAACAGCAATTGCTTGTATTGCTTTAGGATTTCAAGAATCTCTATGACTCATAGGGAGGTAGCCCAATCTTGGCTATTTTTGTTTAATAACTCATGGCTTGCAGGAACAGTTTTTTTTCCAGTCACATGAAGATACAGTCCTTTAAACTTGTTTTTAAATTTACTTATTTAGATTTGTGTGTGTGTGTGTCTGTGTGTGTGTGTGTGTGTGTGTGTGTGTGTGTGTCTGACAGAGCAAGAACATGGAGGTCAAAGGACAATTCTGGGGAATTATTTCAACTCTTCCACTTTATGGGCTCTGGGAAGCAAACACAGGTCAGGATCCCTGTGCACTAGCACCTCTACCTACTAAGCTGTCTTGCCAATTTTTTTTAAGACAGGCTCTCTCACTAAATACACTGATTGTTAAATATACTACATATGTACAGTATACATGTTGCTCATTACATTCTTCTCATCCCTGTCACCTGTGGCTGAATATATATATATATATATATATATATATATATATATATATATGTCTCTT